ATGTTACAATGGTTCTGCATCAGTAGATGGTTTGTTATCATGACAATGCATTGTTAAAAGAACCTAAATAAGAGCAAACACAAAGCCAGCACAAAATACTGCATGCAACATCAGATTTCATTAGCTTTGTAGTAGGCGAGGCAGAATTTAGGTATCAATATAATTTTATGAGAAAAGAGGATTATGGGCTAGTGTTTGACATAACACTGTTGTTAATGCATTTGATTATTAAATTCTCAACTAAGAAAATAATCTCTATATAAGAGAGTGTTTTCCTAAAGGCAATTAAAATAACAAGAACCTCCACTCATTTATTTATTTTTAGGTATGTTGTCCACAGTTCAAATGGTCACAAATTGAAATAGAATGGAGAACTTCTGAAATATTTACAAATTTCAAATATGATTCAATGGAAGTTGCTAAGGGCTCTTTATGACCATGTACACTTGTCCTCTTTCATAGAGCAAAGTCCTGTTAGCATCTGGGCATAACTTGCTCTTAATATAGAATTTTTAAAGACTCTGAAATCTGATCCAATTAACACATTCTTGATATTGCAGAATATAGTGCTAATTACATGCAACTGACCTCTGCTGGGTTAATTAAACATTCACCCAAAAAACTATAGCACTAATCTAATTAGCAGTTACTACAGCTGTCATTATCTCTTTGCACCTACTTTTAAGTGGTGCAAATTCACACCAAGGACCCAATCCTGAAAACTCTCCACATGCTGAACTCCCTTTGACTTCAATGGTACTTTTGCACACAGAGGACTTGCAAGATTGGGATGTAGGCACTTCACTCTATGGCCCAACAAGTACAGTGCACATCCTCAGTATTGCCAACCCAAAGGTCACATTAAAATATCATGAGTCGGGCCATACAAAATCATGAGTTAGAGAAAAAAATTGGGGTTCTTTTTATTTGCCTTCTTGTTTTTGAGCCTTTAAGGTGCACTGGAGTCACATCTTCTTGATTTTTCTTTAGCCAGGAGGGCTAGACACTTTTTAAAAAAATGAAAGCTGAGATTCTCATATATCCACAAGACTCCAGGAGCTGGGGCTTTAAGAGAAAATACTAATTACTGTCAGATTCACAATAACATTGTGAGAGTTAATGACACTGTAACAATGGCTTGATGACATCCTCTATTTTCTCAGAATTTTGCCTGACAGTGGGGGAGAAGGTTGGGAACACTGATGTTTTGTTTATTTTGAGGGAATAACTTTTTTCCCTGAACTTGGTTTAAAATGAACACTAATCAGAGTTGCACAGCTACAATGTTGCAAGGCAAGTTAAAGGGGTGCAGAGGTGTTCCCTGATCACCAAAAAACTGGGAATTTACTCTTTGCTTAGGTCTCGCACATGTATACAGTGTGTGGAGTAATGAAAAAACAGGGCTGGGGATAGAAGGCATAGTCGGGCACTCAGAGAGAACATGGGAAACCATAAAATACAGCTACCTGGGAAGCAGAGGGGAGTCTTCTGAGGAGACAAAGCCTATATACCCAGTACTATTTCACGTTATGGAAAAAACATTTCTTCCTTTTGTTATAACCTGTGCCAACTAAAGCTCACAAATGAAGCACTGGAGAAAACACTTGTGGTGAGAGACTTAATGGCAGATTGCTGGCCCACTCTCCCAGCTTACGCCTTGACAAAGTTGGTCACCATTATAAAACTCAGATGTAAAGTGTAAAATAAAATGTTATTAGGAACAATGCTTTTTAAACAGAGATCATGAACCTTGATCACTCTATATATTGCTAGTTAGAACTATACCATATAATGAGTCCATTCATGGTTGGCCTGACACCATTTATACATTAGAGTCACTGGTGCAAAAGGAGAGGGAGGAAAGATGTGCATCTGGTAGACACTTTTTTTTTATTATGATCTAGGTAAGCTGCCTCTTTAAAAGCAGATTCATATATACAGGAGGATAATGACACACTAATTATATGGCTGAATGTATTATGCACAAACTATTGCTACTATTCAGATCCAGGATCAGCAATTGAGAGGTCATTCAAACACAATTTTTAGTAAACATGTATTCATAAGAGCTGTAGTCCAAGGATATGTTATTTTTTTTTTTTAAAGATAAGATTTACAATGGCACTGCAGTATGTGTGCAAATGAACTCACTAGTACAGAGTGGTGATTGGCTGAATGACTTCTGATTTCCAACTCCCATCATCCAAAAGTGAGCTGTTGGCAAGGCAGCAGCAGGGGGTCTGATCAGAGGGTCTAGGAATAATACAGGAACAGACTGCCTGGTGCTCCCAAGGGAGTCAGGAAGGGTTGGAAATTGGATGAAATCTAGGGTTCTGGAAAGCAGCTAGAGGAACGGCTGGCTGGCTGGCTGGTGAGCCAGGGCTGCAAAAAGCAGCAGGAAGGAGAAGAGAAGCCAGAAGTTGGGCTAAGAGCCATGGGTGCTGAGTGAGCCAGGACTAGAATCAGGTCTGGTCTACATGGGATAGTTTTACTAGTTATACAGGCATAGTATACTGCTATAGTCCCTGGGACAGACAGTCCTATCGTGGTGTAAGAGTGGCTTTTTGGTTTTGCTTGAACCCCTTCACAAGCAACATAAATGAAAATGAAAAAAGTAATTCATATCAGAGTAACTGTGTCCATAGGGGGTTATACCTGTGTAACTATCAGTTTAAATTGACACCTTAGGTTATACCAAAAAACCTTCTCCCTTATAGACAAGGCTTCAATCTCATGATTCCTACAGAACAGCACTGGTGCCTATCCCAAGACAGCTACCACCTCATTATTTGTTTGCTTCTTTAATGATCGACCATTTCATTGATTTTCAGCAAAACAAGAATACACAGCTGGAGTGCAAAACATTTCAGTAAGAGTAGGAGAAAGTTATCAAACACAATTAGTCAATATCCATATCACATGTAAAGATTATTGGGTCCTGTGGCAATGTCCTTTTATTGAACATAATACTCAGAAGATATAGTCAAAGTATTTTCAAATTACTGAAGTTCATTACGTCTGTTGCAGATGATTTTCCCCAGAGCTATCAAGTCACGTAGGCCAAGGTACCAATTCTCCCATCCTGGTGGAATAACAGCTTTCCATCACTGCAGGATAACTGACTATCCACAAAGCCCAAACTAGCCACCTCTCTTGTTGGTCGGTTAGCTCTAGAAATGTAGGGAACATTCCCCAGCAGTAACAGCAAGGATGGCTAACACAGAGACACATAGGGAATCAAAGTGTTCAGGCGTATGCCTCCTACTTACAAGGTTTTTATTAAGGGCCTGATTTTGGCTCACCACAGTTTTACATTGGTGTCATTCCACTGACTTCAATAGCATTACTTCTGATTGATATCAGTGTGAGATCAGAATCAGATCCTAAATGCTTTACAGAATGAGTCACAGTTATTTTATTCAAGTTATTTTACAAAAATGTTGGTTATAAATGTCAGGTTCATTTACTTTGCAAAAATAGCAGAACAATTAATCCCAACTTTCATAAATATTGTATTTTGCTCCTGCAAATTCATAACATTTTGTAAATCACCTTTCATTAAGTGGGGTATCCCTTCCACTTATTCATATAGCAAGTGAACATATTCAAATAATCACATTGCAGGGAAAGATCCTGTAAATTACCCCCATAGAGATGACAAAGTACACACAGCAACATTCCATTCCTCCTTGTCACATTAGCGTCTATTTTGCACAGTACTGTAACTCAATTTTAAGAAACATCTTTGATCATTTAAAGTTGATTCTGGTAGCCTTATTCACCTGAATCATACCTTACTCTGTTGACTGTCCCATTTCAAGGTACTACTGAACATGAATGAGGGCAGCAAAACCAATCTCTAAATGAGTATTTAATCTATCTCACTCCCGCCCAGTTATTGAGCTGTCTTCAGCATCACCAGAAAGTCCTCCAGTGCAAACATGTCGGCAGCTAGGCAACTGCTTCATACTTTTTAATATTTTAAAATACTCTATTGTTGGTAGTATTTGTTACACAAAGATTCTTTCTTCTCATGTAATAGTAATAATATATAGGACCTGATTCTCCTCTTACACTGGTGTAAATCAGGATTGACTCCTTAGAAGTCAATGGAATTACATGTCACCTTCAACCCTGTTTATGCTATGGATATTTCTCAAAGATTTCCCACCATTGCTAATGGTGGCTCACCTCCACCAGTGTTAGCAATACTGGGAATACATGTTATAGATGAGGTCACCAATTGCTGCGAGCATTTTAAATAAAGATGCTCAGAAAATGCCAGTTGTTCTTTACGGGAAACTTTTGTTCATCAAAAAAACAGACAATTTTGACCAAAATGAAAATCTTGAGCAATATTTTTTGTTTAGGATGAAAAGTCCCTCTTCAATGAAAAAACAAAAACGCATCAATGAAAATAATTAGACTAGCTCTAACTTTAAGTTGCATTGTTGCTTAGACTTAGGCTTTGTCTTCAGTGCAAAAAAAGAAAATATGTGATTTTTACATTGAGATAGCTAACTCAAGATCACCATGTCAGTGTAAAATGCTAGTGGAGACAAGGCACTGTAGTTTTACCTCAATGCAGCCATGTGAGGGTTGACCTTGTCTAGCTACACAACAGTAATAACTACCTATGCTGTTACTCCACTATTACATTGAGTTAGCTATCTCAATGTAAAAAACACACCTCTTTTTGCAGAGAAAAGTCTGGCTCTGAGCAGGTCTAATCAATATGGTGTTTAAAACAGTGGTGACAGCTTTTGGCTCGTATATGCTCAGGATCTCAACTTCGCTGACACCAATGGAACTGACCCAGTGTAGCAAGAAGGAGACATTTTGAAGAGATTAGACTTCCACACCATGCTCCCCCCTCCCTCTCTTTCACACAGAGAAACATCTTATACATTTCAGGTAATGTTATACATGATGTAAAGAGATAATCTACATCTTCACACGGATGCTAATGATTATGGAGCTTAAAGGTGCTTTTGAGCAGGTTAATTGTGCTCATATACATTTGAATGCAAGTCTGAATGTAGGGGTCCTATATCAGAATCTTTAATCTTCTGAATCTCACACTTGCAATCCTCCACAATCATGACCACCTTAACAACAGCGACAGACCTGGTGCAGTTCAGCTCCAAGCGTTTCATGGTGAACTTGGTAGGCAAGCAGTGGGAACAAAAGGTATAAAGACGATCTTCTGGGCCAGGGACGTGAAAGGAACTACACTTCCCAAAGCACAAGTTGTTCTGCACCACCACCTTTTCACAGTTCTCATGCACAATACTCTGAAACAGCAAACAGGTTGCAGTTACTACATAGCATTGGCATTGTAAACACTTGTTGGCCCTATCCTCCTTTCTTTGCACATTCAAAACTCCCATGGACTTTGCTGGAAGATGTAGACACAAAAATAATGGAAGATTGGGCTTATACAACTAATATATAAGTTTCTTCTCTTACTGTTAGTTACTGTAGTATTCACACCATTTACAAATTATTTTAAGTAGCAAAAGAATTAAAGTAGTTACCTAGTGAGTTTCCCACTTACTTGGACAGTGTTACTATAATATATAACTTGACATTTATGTGTATCATATTTGGTTCAAAGGGCCTTTATGTTTGAAAAATCATGACCAAGTTTGAGTCACGTCTGTAATATTAAGCACTGGTCTATGCTGGAAGTTATAACTTCTTTGACTAGAGATTTTTTTTAACCAAAATAGTTATAAGCCCTAGTGTGGATGCAATTATGCCAATATAAAGATGCCTTATACCAGGATAGCTATTCCACATCCCAGACTTGAATCAACTAACCTGATATAAGCACTTTTATACTGGCGTAACTTTGTCCACACTAGAGAGAGGTTAATGCTTTAACAATACCAGTATAATTAAAGTGGTACAATCTTCTAGTATAGACAAGGCTTTACTCCTCATTTTTAGTAGAGCAGGTCAAGAATTTGAGTTTAGCCATAAAACCACAAACAAACCCCTGAATAACTGCACTGAGACTGATTGTATAAATAAACTTACTATTCTTCCTGCTGTTCAGGCTAAATCAGGAAATATGGTTTGTGTTTGATTACAGATAAAAAATAACCCCTCCTGCTCATTGTATATTGATTACATTGGTTCCCAGACCTGTGCTCAACAATGTGACTCGTTGAACTAAAGCAAACGTTTTTTTCAGTACTATTGGATGTCTATGAAGTGGTCTTGCTGCTAGCAAGTGGAATTGACCTGTATTTCCTTAGTCAGGGATTACAGATGACACAAGAGAGTGAAGTTTGTGAAGGCAGAATGATGGGAGCAAATACTGCTATTGGGTCTCTTGCCTGAGACCTGTTCTTACCTGAGAAAAAGGCAGCGTCCTGCAGGTCTCCTGGTACATATCGTTGGTCTTGATTGGCAGAACAACCTCCTCAGAAGCTGAATTTTTTTTAAACATGAAATGGTCCCAGAATTTTTTAGCATCTTTCCTGTAGGGGGGCTCAGCTTCCTTCTTGTTGACTGAGTGTGAAGGTAGGAAGCGTCTCATGCTTTCAGAATGGGAGGTCTCTTTTGGTGCAGTCCAGCTTCCCAGATCTCGGTGCACATCAAGCTCTACATATGGAAGGATAAATCTGGATGATTTTTTTTCTCCTTGCTTTCTGCTCTCTGTTGCCAGCTCTGGGGCTGCTACAAATAAACTTGGTTCTTCTAGGATTTCTTCATAGTCCACAGGATCTTGCACCAGCAACTTGCTAGGGCCCTCTCTTTCAAGCAAATCTTTATCTTGATAGGAAAGGTGCTGAATTCTCCTCTTGTTCCTTTGCAGCTCTCCGCCTTGTCCTGTTGCTCCAAGACCAGAGATCACGAGCAGATGAAGCAGCAGCAGAAACATACTAATCTTACTTGTGTGGACTTTTAATTTAAATGTCCTGCAGTTTCAGGTGAGCAAAGGAAGCGGCATGTAGTCTGCTAGCTTTATAAAGGAACTGAAGTCATTCTGTGGATGCTGTGGGGGTAGGGGCTACAAAGGGGAGGACCCAGGGTAACCAGTTAAACTCATTTACTGTAGATTATAATTATGATAAGGGAATTTCTGTTAATTCAACCCATCTTTTACTCCTGGATGCGTGTATTAGAAGTTCCTATCTAAAACCTGGTTCCCCAGGGGGGTGATTAGTTGGAAAAAAATGTTTGGATAAGTTGTTTAGCTGTAGTCTGGAAATGTGGAAAAGTTCCTGAATGTTTATTAGCTCATTCAACATGTCCTTTATATTTTTTCACATACCCCCACACACCATCACAGCAGAATCAAAAAGGATGTCCTATTGTGATGAAACATCAGAGAAAGCAAGGGCAATAAAACAATTTCAAAACATGAAGATAGATTTGTAGACTTACATAGAGATACCGGCCCACATTTTCAAAAGAGATCCCTAATTTAGATGCTTCATGTTTTCAGATCTATCAATTAATTTTGGGTGCCTTTGATATTAAGGTACCCTATCTAGGACTTAATTTTTTGACTTGAATTAGATTTTAGCTTCTCAGAATCTATGGAAAATCAGTCCCCACGTATCTCAAGCTGGGCAACCAAAAATGGAGGCACCTGAATTTAGTGCACACTTCTGAAAATTTGGCCCTCAGAGACTTTTTGAAGCTCAAATAGTGAATCACTGGCATGGGTGAGAACTACATCTTGTGAATTTTCCACCATATCATCCTGTCTCTCTTGTGTATGAGAGAAATAACATGTTTGTACATGAATAAAATGGACATACTTTTAACAAAACTGTATTAACAATTAATTCATTAAATAGCAATATGATACAATATATCTGTTCATACACATTCACACCTCCACATTCAGAATAGCTGTTCAAAGATGTGACATGCAATTCCCGTAGAGCCTAGTCCTTCAGCACATAGTCCAAAATCTGGCAAAACTCCCATTGACAATTAAGCCATATAAATCTGGATAATTTTTGATTAACAAAGCAGAAAGTGTGGTACCACCAACTCCCAAGAATGCTGTTCTAGGCTTATGTCATATATGCCTTTTAACTGTTCCGTCTGAAAACTGTTTTGCCTCTAACAATTTATACATTAGATTGGATTATAAACAATATTCAGATAGCCCCAGTTTAAGAAACCACTGCTGTTAGCTTCATGGTGTTACATAAATAATAAATTGTGCTAACAGCGTTCTTAATCAAGATGTTGCCAATCTATAGGTATGTTGGAAATATCTGTCAAGGACAATTTTTTTCTCACTTTTGAAGCTTGCATAAAAGAGTTGCCAAAAGGCATGAGAGAGATTAGAACCATGCAGGTTTTAGTTTAAATTGTGCACCTATAGATCCCAGGTTAGATCAATATAACAGAAAACTCTCCTCAAACTAGAACACCTATTATTTTTGAAGATGAATACCAATACTTGCCATTTTAGTACTAGTATTTAGTGTCTACACATCCTTGATTCCACTTGAATATCAATAAGCTGTTAGACTGGTTTAAATCAAGGTGCTGCCAATCTGAAGATTAGTGTTAAAGACCTAGTTGATCTATGATAAATGAATGTCATTATTTGTCTTTCACCTCAGAGGGCTTAGTTTATTGCCTTCTAATTGGACTAAACCTATTGCCCTGCAAAGTTCTTGTGAGACACTGACTTGCAGCATTTATTGTTGCTATGCATGTGCATTACAACACCACTAGTGCAAAGATATTTGAGATTTAGACCTTGTCTTCACCATAAGGTTAACCTGAATTATAATTCAAGTGTTGCCCTAAACTTGCGTCCCATCACACACAAAAACCTGTAACTCAAGCATGGTGGTGATGGCCAGCCCATCAGGGTATATAGGCTTCAGCTTAAACCACAGACCACCATAAGATATGCCTCCAGAAGTCTTAGTGCCACACACGAATGAGCGACGTGCCAGTGTGGCCATGGCAGCTCACGTGCTAAATCACAGTGTAGCCACTCTCACTTGAGCTGGGCTAACTCAAGAGGGGTAACTCAAGTGTAGAAAACTTAAGTTAACTGTTCAGTAAAGACATACCCTAAACGCAAGGTCTTAAATTTAATTTCCTATTTTTAGTGTCTAATAACTTTAACCAATATAATGTACTAAAATTTCTCTTATCTAGTGCAAGTTGAATAATAACCATTATAAATTATTTAACACATTTTCTGACATTAAAAAAGTCAATTATATTTTAAGATTATTCATTTAGCTACAGGACTGGACTGATAACTAGACAGATTTATCTGTATCTTGGCCAACAAACCAGGTATTGAAACAGGAGACAAAAAGGAGTTTTCACCAGCAAAGCTATTTTTCACTTGCTTTGTTTAAGCTGGAATAGCCCTAAAACAGATTTAAAATTTCAAACTTTCGCCATGATCTTGAAAACACAATTCTATGCAAATGCATAGTCCCATTGCCTAAAGACACTCACATGCAAGTTTGTAGGAGAGTGTGAGAGAGAGAGAGAGAGAGAGAGAGCGCTTGCATGTGTGTGCCCTGATCCAGCTCCCCTTGAAGTCAACAGAAAGACTGTCAGCAAAGAACATACACATGAGCAAAAGCAAAGTATTGCATACATGCTGTGCATTATGCCATTTTATTATTACAATTATTTATAGTTCAGTAGCACCTAGAGGTTAGTGGCAGAGCTGGGGAAAACACCCAGGTTACCTGAGTTCCAGGCCAGTGCCCCAGCCATTGGATCATGCTGCCTCTCTGCAAATACAATGCAGGGGTCTATACTCAGCCCTTATTTTCTCCAGATCCTCCCTGCATAAGGCAAGATAACTTTCCCCAGCAAACTCTGAATAGAATCTTTGGTAATACAAAATATTTACAAATCCACTTCTTGAGACAAAAAATAACTATCTGCAATGGATACTGGACTAGGGAGACTGTCATCATAACTCAGTAAAGCAACTGTCACATTCCTACAAAATGCAGTGTAGCAATATATATATATACACACAACTATATTTTTTCTGCTTCAGTATCTGGGTAAGGAGTATTTTTGCTCCGTTTTGGATGTTAAATTTTGTGGGCTAAATACCGTGGTCAAATTCGAACAGACTTTCACCCCATAGTAGCATTTTATTTTTGAGTACACCGCTTTCACTTGACCTAGTCACATTAATGCTTTCTAATCTTTTAAAGCACAGAGATCTACAGATGACAAGTGAATGTAAATGCTAAGTATCATTATTCATTTGCTTTAGATTGTTCAGTCATCATGGACATAAACTGAGTAATTAGTTACATTGCCAATTGATGCCTAAAAATAATTCTTAGGCAATGGTGGAATTATTTTCCTTCTGTTGAGCTAAATAGGGTCATTATAGTATAAATTATGAACAACCCTTTAAACTTCTATCCAGAGAAAACTTTTAAAGAACCCATTTAAAGACCTCAGAATTAATTAATTACTACTTTACAGTACATTCCCCAATTATTATACATTCCAAAGAAAACTCTCTTTTTCTTAAGTTTATTGAGTTTTTAAAAAGGCAGAAAGAGTCACATACATTCCTTTCATAGCATAGTTACAATAACTAACCTAATAGGCTTGTGAGCGATATAACGAGACAAAAAATATGATGGCTTTTACATCTTAAAATGTATATACATCACCTATTTCCATTGCAGTGAGGTTCTTAAATTTTTTTGCTAATTTGTATAGCAGAATTTCATCCACATCTTTATAATATTTTTCTCTGTATGCTCATCCCAACAGGAATAAAACCAGCATTCCAAGCTGATGCCAAAATTTAGATGCCTAAGTTTGAAAAGGTTGCCCTCTATGTACAATAAAATTGCAGTGTTAAATGTGTTGGTCCTTTAGCCTTACCATATAGTAAAAAACCCCAATAACATGGGAAAATCTACACAGAAATAGTCATTTGAGAATGAAATAAGAAGCCCAAATACAGAACACAATTTTTAAGTAGAGAATCCTAAAAAATGAAAGAGAGAGAGAAGGGGGCAGGGACAACAAAAATAATTAGGAAAGAAGTTTGAAGATGTTTGGAATCAATATTTTTATCAAATAAAACTTATGAGGTCAATTTTGTGATTAAACATTTCTGAGGTAAAGAATGAAAATAGTAAAAAGTAGCATAACCTTGGTATTGCAGCTATTTTAGTCCTACTATCACTTTAAGAGGCTGTGCAGCATGCAAATATACATGACTTGTTGGAACATGTTGCTTTTGAGAAGCAAAAATGCTACTGGTGTGGTAGAAAGAGGTAATTGCTCTGAACTCCTCAGTAAGCTTGGATTCACCCGATGTTTTTAGCAACAGAAGTATTACTTATATTTTCTGCTTGATATCAATAAAGGGAGCAGAGTGAAGAACATGGACATCTTGGGATTGCTGATGCAATAAGGATCAATGAGATGCATGGCTAGTTCTAAGCATCCCAGCTTGTTAGACTCTATGCGGATTTCCACTTACATATGATAGCATCTCCTGAGTAATACATGGAGGCAGAATCCATGTATCATTTAACTGAGAATCTAACTCATCCCAAACTCAGTATGGAGCTGGAAACCTCACTAAGCGGTTGGTTGATTGCTCTGGCTTGCTGTGAGGTGGAAATGAAGAGGGAAAATCAAGATATCTGGAATATTTGAGAGACATTAGAATCTTGAAAGAATCCCCCTTCTTCCTGAAATACATGAAAGATGAGAGAGAGCAGTGGAAATTCTCTAAGCAGTCTGAAAAGACACCTGGAAGATATTTCCAGCACAATCTAAGCCTCTGTAAGAAGATGATGGTAAGACTTCTTATATCCATAGGTTTATTTATAGCAAAAGGTATATTGTGTTATTGGTAACAGCATTAATAATAATTAATCATTGGAACAACTTACCGAGGGGGACGTGGTGGATTCTCCATCACTTGCAATCTTCAAGTCAAGACAATGTTTTGCTTTTTAAAGATATGCTATAGCTCAGTTCTGGGCTTGATGTAGGAATGCCTGGGTGAGTTTCTGTGGCCTGCATTATGCAGGCAGCTAGACTAGATGATCACAGGGCCCTTCTGGCCTTAAACATCTATGAATCTATAAATCAGTTTTTAATTGTGATTTTTAAAACTGAAAGCATGCCTTTATCTCACTTTTCCCTTTCTTATATCTGCTGGCAACGCCTGTGTCCTTCTTTGGATTTATTTCCTAAAATAGAATATTCTAGTGCTCGTCTGCTTAAAAAACAGACGCAGCCAAATATTCATGAGTGATTCTACAATAACAACCCAATGTATGCACCCAAAAGAGGTAGAAACATTAAAGGAAAACAGATTTCAGTAGCTGTATACAATACACAACAGATGTATTGTGCTTACTACTTATAAACACGTTTTTAATATGCTCATCACCACAGTCTCTGTCACAGGAAGAAAGCTTTTAAGTACTTGGGTATTTAAAAGACAAGTCCACAGCTATCATATAGGATTTATTTTTATTAGTATACAGCACATATTTAGGTATAACAGTAAATATAATGCATGTAACATGCTATTTTTTGGTACAAATATTAGATTAGCACCAGTCTAGTGATTTAAATAAGGTAGAACCACAGTGTTGATGGGACTATACACATAATTCTCTCTAGTATTTAGAAAGAATGAATGCAAATCAAAATGTAAATAAACTTCTCAGTTGCAGTGCCCACTAGAGGGAATTGGAACATTCTCTTCTGGATTTCTGTTTCCAAATTAGTTTTAAAAAAGGCAAATTTGATCTGTATAAAGTTAATTATACATTTATTAACACAAATTCAAAAAAAATAGGCTCTTGCTTGAGGAATACATTATATTTTTTTTCACTGAACTTTTTTGCACATTTTTTATATTTGTGAAAGGTGCTGGGTGGACAGTCCTGGTGAATTAAGTCCTCTTTTTATATACAGAACAAGTGCAGCCTGGAGGGACTACATCAGTAAGTGAATGTATAAGTTCATTCTCCATGCCCATTCAGTTTTTGATCTTTCTGTTGGACTCTCAGAACTTCTGATAGCAAAGTTTGTCCTTTGACACCTGAACAACCCCACCCACCATAATCTTTAATTGAGTCAAATCCACAAGCCACTGAGGTCAATGAAAACAATTTCAGTGACTTCAGTGGGCTTCGGATCAGGCCCATAGTTCATTGAACATCTTTCTGTCACTACTGACATGGAAATGTATTCAAACCAGTGACTTACATGGAGGCATATTATATCCCTCTGACTAACAATCCCTTGAGCCATCCAGTGCTTTCATTGACCTGGATTGGATTCATTACATTCTTTGAACCTCAGTATCCTTGCCAGAAATACAAAAGCTGTTCAAATTCTATCCTTGAATTTAAGGAAAGACCAAAGAGAATTCAGATATTATGAAATGATTTAAATCAGGGGTCGGCAACCTTTCAGAAGTGGTGTGCCGAGGCTTCATTTATACACTCTAATTTAAGGCTTTGCGTGCCAGTAATACATTTTAACGTTTTTTAGAAGGTCTCTCTATAAGTCTATATATTATATAACCAAACTACTGTTATATATGAAGTAAACAAGGTTTTCAAAATGTTTCAGAAGCTTTATTTAAAATTAAATTAAAATGCAGATCTTATCAGTTTAGTGTGATCCTTGCCCTTGCTTTTCCTTGCTGAGTTTTCCAATGTCTGGCACGTATTTGGATACTTTAAGCTGCACACAGGCTTCTGAGTGATCAGTTGTTAACCGGCTGGCAGCAGGTCAGTGGCTGGAACCCCAGATCGGCAGCTGAGGTGAGTGGAGCTGGCTGCTGGTAGGGCTGAGCAGGGCCGGAGGCCTGGACCCTGTCTGGCAGGGGGCCTGCGCTGGAACTCCAACTGGAAGCAAGGTGAGTGGGACTGCAGAGGGGACCCAGGCTGGCAAGGGGCCAGCAGCCAGAACCCCAGAGCAGCGACTGAGTAGGTCAGCCCGCTGCTGCTCTGGGGTTCCGGCCGCTGGCTCCTGCCAGCCGGGGTCTCAGCCCGCTGCCAGCCTGGGGTTCCTTCACCCAGGCCAGCAGCGGGCGCTGAGTGGGGCCGGCGGTGGGACCCTGCTGGCAAGGGGCCAGCAGCGGGAAACCCCAGAGTGGCGGCAGGCTGAGCGGCTCAGCCTGTCCCCGCTCTGGGGTTTCGGCTGCTGGCTCCTGCTAGCCGGGGTCTCAGCTCGCTGTCAGCTTGGGGTTCCTTCACCCAGGCCAGCAGCAGGTGCTGAGTGGGACCGGCGGCGGGACCTCGGCTGGCAAGGGGCCAGCAGCGGGAATCCCAGAGCGGGGGCGGGCTCAGCCCGCCGTCGCGTGCCATCAAAAATCGGCTCGCGTGCCACCTTTGGCACGCGTGCCGTAGGCTGCCGACCCCTGATTTAAATGGTTCTTATATCTAAACATTCACAATACCTTGGAAATAAGATTTTTAGCTGTATTACTGTATAGAAAAAAGAATTTAGCGAGGCTATTAAGCATATGCAGTTTGCATTTTTGTTGATGGAACTATCTTAAATCCTCTTCAATTACTTTAAGGCTGGTTTAAATGAGAGTGTGACACACATAGGGCTAAATCCTTCCCTGCTCATACTCAAGCACAACTCCCTTTGAGATCACTGGGGACTTTGCCTGTACAGTTATGCTGAAATCCAACTCTCCCAGCACAAAGCCTCAAGATTAGCAGAGGGAACTAAGTGGGGTGGGTGATGGAATTTACAGATAGGAACACGTACAAAACCACAGAAAAGGAAGCAAGGCTGCTGCACAGTCTTCTGCACAGTTACTGCCATCTGTACTGCTACCCCTCTGTTCTCCCAAGGTGGCAATAGGTGATTAGATTTGGTCATGCATGGCCTGCTTTGGCCTGGCCCCAACAGCCCCATCCATGTTGGCCTATTCCAAACTGGCACAGAGACCCCTCTGCAGAGTTCTGGGGGTGCTGATGCCCTCTGTGAGGTCACTCCATCCATTCTCCTTCCCTCCACACAGCCACACTGGGGAGCTTAAATGGTGCGGAAGGTTGTGTAGGCCTTTCACAGTTGAGTGACTTACACCCTCATTGTACTGCAGTATTGCTCACCTCTGATGTCATTTGGTTAGGTATTGAGGCAAAAAGGTTACCCTGAGAGACTCATTAGACACAGCAACTCTGTAGTGTATCCAGTACACTACATTAAGAAGTTATTTTTCTAGTTTTTGTTCCAATTAAATTCTGAGTTTTTAAAAACTCTCTCAGAAATAAACTTAAATTTTAAAAAAGGCGTCAAATCCCTAAGGATTGTACTTGCAATTGGGTCCAGGTGGGCAGATCCAATTAGGATCTAAAGTCTTTGGGGTTGGATTGTGGCTGGACATAAGAACGGCCATACTGGGTCAGACCAAAGGTCCATCCAGCCCAGTATCCTGTCTACCAACAGTGACCAATGCCAGGTGCCCCAGAGGGAGTGAACCTAACAGGTAATGATCAAGTGATCTCTTTCCTGCCATCCATCTTCACCCTCTGACAGAGGCTAGGGACACCATTCCTTACCCATCCTGGCTAATAGCCATTAATAGACTTAACCTCCATGAATTTATCTAGTTCTCTTTTAAACCTTGTTATAGTCCTAGCCTTCACAACCTCCTCAAGCAAGGAGTTCCACAGGTTGACTGTGCGCTGTGTGAAGAAGAACTTCCTTTTATTTGTTTTAAACCTGCTGCCCATTAATTTCATTCGGTGGCCGCTAGTTCTTATATTATGGCAACAAGTAAATAACTTTTCCTTACTCACTTTCTCCACACCACTCATTATTTTATATACCTCTATCATATCCCCCCTTAGTCTCCTCTTTTCCAAGCTGAAAAGTCCTAGCCTCTTTAATCTCTCCTCATATGGGACCCGTTCTAAACCCCTAATCAATTTAGTTGCCCTTCTCTGAACCTTTTCTAATGCCAGTATATCTTTTTTGAGATGAGGAGACCACATTTGTATGCAGTATTCAAGATGTGGGCATACCATGGATTTATATAAGGGCAATCAGATATCCTCCGTCTTATTCTCTATCCCTTTTTGAATGATTCCTAACATCCTGTTTGCTTTTTTGACCGCCGCTGCACACTGCGTGGACATCTTCAGAGAACTATCCACAATGACTCCAAGATTTCTTTCCTGATTAGTTGTAGCTAAATTAGTCCCCATCATATTGTATGTATAGTTGGGGTTATTTTTTCCAATGTGCATTACTTTACATTTATCCATATTAAATTTCATTTGCCATTTTGTTGCCCAGTCACCTAGTTTTGTGAGATCTTTTTGAAGTTCTTCACAGTCTGCTTTGGTCTTAACTGTCTTGAGCAGTTTAGTATCATCTGCAAACTTTGCCACCTCACTGTTTACCCCTTTCGCCAGATCATTTATGAGTAAGTTTAATAAGATTGGTCCTAGGACTGACCCTTGGGGAACACCACTAGTTACCCCTCTCCATTCTGAAAATTTACCATTTATTTATTTATTATTGTGCAGGTGGGCAAGGTGAGGAGAAGACAAAAGCAGACTTCCTTCCCCATGGTGCTCCTGCACTGTGGGCCTGATCCAACTCCCACTGAGATTCTTCCCATGGACTCCAGTGAGTTCTGGATCAGGTACCATGCTAGGACAGCAATGATTGAAGCACTCGCATCCCTAACAGCAACCCAATATCAGCAACAGAGCTCACTCTGCAGATGAGCCCATTATCCCTCCCCCCACCACTTCTCTCCCTATAACTGCAAGTGAAAACAAAGCTAATAGAACTGTAAATCTGTAGGTTTTATTGCTGCTGAATTCAAACAACAGACAATTTACATTCACCAGTCATGGAACTTGCAAGTTGACTGTTGTGTTCGTTTATTTTTGTTTAAAAATAAATGAATAAATTTACATGGCAATTAGGTGTAAGACCTAAGGCTTTAGTCTTCAGTGTAACAAAATTTGGGCATCTCATTAGAACAAATGACAGATCCAAATGCTGTGGCGGTGTTTGAAAACTGAAATTGGATTCAGATCTGAATTTTGCAAGTAGCCTCTATTGTTGTAATGAGCTCAAACCTAAACCAAGAACCAAACATTCTGAAACTTGGTGGTGCTTGAATTCTGGATCTATACTGAGTCTTTCTCTAATGAGAACCTATTTGCCCACCCCTTCCTTGCTATGCTTAGCACTGTGCTACCGCATTAACTCGATTTGACTCTAATATACCACAGCAGGAGTATAAAAATAAACCCTGATGATAATGAAGTTTCTTTTCTACACTTATACCCTCAGAATACTGCAAATATAAGTTAAACATTCTGAGCACAAGAAAGGCCAGATGGGTATGAGTGTCAGTTTTGTTTACAGCTTTCTTGAGCAGATATAGTTGTGCCTATTACCCTTCCTACAGTCTTTTGCTTGCCATTTCCCTCGCCTCTGCACCAAAACACAATTCTTTCCTTGCTTTGAAAGGCGAGATGGACTTCTTCTCCAGTTTGTGAAGGTGACAGGTTCTCCTCCATGCCACTCCCAATGGCCAGGATTAACGTGGTCATTAAAGCCTAATATGAATCAAAAAGATCAAGTCAGTGATATGCATTTCACCTGCAGTCTGAAGCCTTCTGCTACAAAAGAAAGCCTATTCTTCTATTTCTCCAGTGAGAAGTACACAGAAGACTTTTTTGAAGGAAGAGAGCCAGAGCCAGAGCCAGAGCCATCCCTTGGGTAGGGCAAATCGGGAGCTTTGGGGGGTCCCGGGGGCCAGTGCGATTGGCTGGCGCGGTCGGTCCCAGAAGAGACGAATCCATCAGTTCCATACCAGGACCTGCACCCCCCTAGGGACAGCCCTGAAGAGAGCACACCAGGACTGCAAGTAAAATACAGTGTGACTTCTGGTAAGGCAACTAGCAACCTGTGAACAAGGAGACAGCATCCTTTCCCTTACTGTCACCCACCCCAAAATCTCTCCATTTCTCTAGACTTTATGTCCAAGTTTTTCTTGTGATATTTATCTTAATTTCCCTAGTAAGCATATTCTAGTCAAGAATGCAGCTTCAAACTTTATCCCAGCCCCCTTGTGAAAACAAATTCCTGTCAGCCTTTTAACATTCATACAGGCCTTGTCTAGACTAAGAAAATAGTTCATGTCCGAAAACATGTTGGCTAACAATTTTAAACATGTCTTTTCACCTAGTGCAGGCACAGCTTACCACCTTTAAAGCGTTAGTTGGTTCACCCCAAACACATAAATAGTGTTTAAAATAGTATTAGCTAAGATATTCAGACATATCCTATTTTCCTAGTCTAGACAAGGCCCCAGATGGAAATATATGAACTCACTAAATTTGTTGAGCCTGATTCTCCGCTCCATTACAACAGGTTTATACCACTGAGGTCAATGGAGTTGCACTAGTGTAAAACTGATCACTCGGCGGGGGAGGGGGGCCGGGTGAGAAATTAAGATGAAATACCTCTCTATGTTACAGATTTGCAGGACTGGAACTTTCCTTTTATACATTTCTCTAAGTATTCAATAAAAGCAATTTAAGAAAAAAGGACAATGGACCAGATGGACAGTTGGTCTGTGTTCCTATGTTCCAAAGTAAAGCTCATAGACACTAGTGTCTCTGGGAGACAATCATATTTAACATTTTGTATACTTGCCTATCCAAAAGGGTTTCCTTCCACTGAAGTCCCACAGCCACTGCATGTGTTGTTTCGTGACCACACTTGCTAGACTTCCAAGGTATCTAGGTTCAAAAAGAGAGGATGGAATAATCAGAATTATCCATGGTGAGACATCTTTCCAATTGACTTTTCTATGAGTGTTTATTCTACCATAAAGACACATATTACAATTTCACATGAAAACTGATGTTTGGCTCAAAGAATACCCTTTACACAGGTTTATTTTTAAAACTCATGTCCATCTGGACAGACTGTGTAGTCACTAATCAATTACTTAAAGGTAATAGATATTATATACTCATATGTGATATTTTAAACCCAATGTTAATTCTTTCACAAGAAATTCTTTAACGTGGACTTAAAAGTACATGCAGTTTTTTTGGTAGGTGGATTGTTTTGCAAACAAGAGTTGTTTTTTTTTGTAACAGTAAGCTAAGGTCCATCTACCCTACAAACACAACCATGTTGAGGAATCTGGTCACATTATCCATTTTGTAGTGCAAACTCTCTTTTAACTATGCCCCTGGAACTATGCTAAAGCCTTGGATAAATAAAGGCAAAAATCTCATTTACACTTCAAAATGGAACTGTGTTATAACTGGATCAGGGGACAACTGGAGTATAAACAGATAGATTCCTGACACAGTTGAAACTGTAGTGTAGATGAGGCTTAAATGTCTTTAATAAAGTCCTAGCAGAAATTTTTAAGACTTGTTTGATTTACAGTGTCTTCCACTTAATTCAATCAGCAGTTGAGCTGGGTCTCTGCTTACATATGCTCTAAACCTTGGAACCGAATCATTTAATTTAACAGCAGTATAATCCTTTGATTGGTCCATGAAAATTCAGTAAAACTAAATCACTGGCACTAGAAAGTTGCTTCACCAAGTGCTACAAACCTGTGATATACACCCTAGTGATCATAGCAATGAGATCAACCTCTTATTTCAATCCAAATAATAGAAACACCTGATTGCAGCCAGAAGAAAGCACTGGTGTGGCTATAATAAAATCTAATCTTAAGAGAGGTCCCTTGCAAATACTGATTTAAAAATCATGCTTGTATGAAACGACATTTCTAATCATTACATGTAGTCAGGGCTCTAGACACACTGTAAGAAAATGAGAACAGTTCTGAAAGTGCGTGTATGATAATAGCATTAACCTAGGCTGGGCTCCAGACAGGCAGGAAATGACAATATAATAGTATTTATGGAGCTAAATGTAAATCTAACTAAACCCTAATTAAAAAGTCTCTACTGAAGAGGACATACTACTTTATTTAAAATACACACAACACTCATTGTGGTGCCAAATATGTCCATTTACATTTTTTTCTGTGTGCTTCAAAATCTATTCCATGCATTCAAAAGCATCCATCACCTCAGCGCAATCAATCCCAACTAAGCAAACATTTCAGCTAAATGGTGCCTTCCGAGGGTGGTCACGGCAATATGCAAGGCATTCAGCATAGAGGAGAGAGTTTAGATCCTTTCTCTAGTGCATTAGGGCAGCTCTGTACCAAACTAAAACTGCCCAATAGCCAGTTTAACCAGGTACAGGAAGGATCCCTACAGCATAGGGGGATCCTTGAGTGGTGCAGAGCAGCTGCAACAGACTCTGCATCACATACCCTATGGCCAGCAGAGGAGGAATGGTTGGGGCAACTCCATACTGCTGGCTAGCCCAGGCTGTCATATCTCATTTGGGGCCATTAGCACCAATACTAGTTCACACAGCCAGACACACAGCTGGCCCAAGATCAAGGGAGTGTCAAAGGCATTGAGCAGCTCCCAGACATAGCCTTAGATCTGTTTTTAATTTTTTGTATTATGGTAGCACGTAGGAACCCCAGTCACAGACCAGGACCCAAATGTGTTAGGTGCTATACAAACACAGCAAAAAGATGGTCCCTGCCCTGAAGAGCAACAATCTGAGTTATGAGCTCTGGCTGTTAGTAAGTTTTATTTAAACGCTAATGCATGGAGGGTGCAAATAGATTTCAGGTCAATGGAAGAGAGGCCCTGATTTTCCTGTACAATCCAGACCCTTTGTGTCACTCAGGCAGTGCAAAGTGCATGGCCCCCAAAAAATTCCCCTTATGGAGGGGAGCTCCCTAGTGGAGGGAGGAAGGAGGGGGCTCCCATGCAAGCAGAGCTCTGCTACACTGCTCCTCAACTGATGCAATGTCCCCAAGGGCATAAACTGGAACAGCATCCTAGGCTGCTCTAACTACTGTTGGGTCTGGGCCAGTGCAGAATCAAGGAACTGTAAAGGAGCTCTCCTCCCCTCATGCCAACAGGAGCTTGGAGGCAGGGGAGAATTGAGACGAGAGAATCAGATTCATAAACAGTTCTTTGACAAGTGTTGAAAACATTCTGTTACTCAAATGGAAGGTTTCCTTTCCACTGAGCAACCCTCTTTGTTGTGTGTTAAACATTCTTCAGTGACCCATGCATTGTCATGTCTACATTGTCTGACTGAGAACAATACCCTGCAATTAGTGTGGCAGAAATGATGCAAGTTTGGCGGGGCAATTAGCTGTTTTTATATCACACCAACATGACACAGAACGATTCTGTTTCAAGGGAAGCATTTTATTATGAAATTTCATGACTTGTCGCTGTTGAGGGGCTGAACAAATAGGTTCATATGCCATCCAGAGGGCAGATTCAAATGGGCGAGTGTCATGTTTATGTCAAAACCCAATGCTGAAACATGAACCCTGTCACTTTGTAGCTAAACCCCAAATCTGAATGTCTTCAGGTTCATTACTTCCTAATGGTCAGTCCTGTCAGAATGAAGATATGGACAATCCTACGCACTGTAAAAGTATTAATGGACCATACTATGCCTTAGGATCTGTATTTATGGCTCCTAAGTGGAATCCAAATGTGGCCCAGTATTTTCAGCTGAGACTGCTGCTATTAATTTGCTTGCACTGTCTCCAGTTACAAATGGAAGGTATCTGGTGCAAGGATGTTTTCAGAAAGGGTCATTAATTCAGCAACTAACTCCCTCAGTTTTTGTACCAGTATAAAAACGACATTTGTTAGGGGTGTGATTTTCTTTATCATTATAGTTATACCAGTACAACTGCTAGTGTGGATACTGGCACATTTTTGCCAGTCTAACTGCACCCATATTAACCACTTTAACTACACCTCTGACCCGACATAATGCGACCTGATATAACATGAATTCGGATATAACGCAGTAAAGCAGTGCTCCGGGGTGGCGGGGCTGCGCACTCCGGCGGATCAAAGCAAGTTCGATATAATGCGGTTTCACCTATAACGCGGTAAGACATTTTGGCTTCCGAGGACAGCGTTATATCGGGGTAGAGGTGTATATCAGTATAGTTAAACTTCTGTATAACTTCTGTGCTTACACAAGGCCTGAGTGTGTTGCTCTTCCAGGGACTCTGCAAGGTGTATTTATCTATCCAAGTTTGGTTTTCAACCTTTTTTCATTTGGAGACCCATAACAATTTTTGAATGGAGGTGCAGACCTCTTTGGAAATCTGAGACATAGTCTGTGGAGCCCAGGGGTCTGCAGACCACAGGTTGAAAACCACTGGGGTAGAATATACAGGGTACATTTTTTTTTCTTTAAAGGGAATTAACCTTAGTTGGAGTCTTACTGCCATTGAGCCAGCAAGATTGTAGCTTAACATTTTTTAAAAAATTGTATATCCATCAACACAGTTTCTTATAAAATTGGGGGCAGGGGGAAGTAAATAATTCACAGAGTAGTTCTCCCAGATGAAAACCTGGTAGTATAATGATGTTTTATAGTGTTCTGAAACTGGCTGTTTCATCTGTAAACACATTACAGATCAAACATCACCAGTAAAATAACGAGGAGCTATGCATGCATTACTTTGGGAATGAAACGGCTGATCTGTTCCAGTAACAGAAATAAGAGAATAGAAAAATAAAACCATTTATTAACTTATCTTCCAATCAGCACTTCAAAATGAATGAAACATCTTCTGAGACTGGGACCTGCACATCTGTAAGCCATTTGCAGTAGAGGGGGGAGGAGCGCTCATTTAACATGATAAAGCCTCCTCAAACTGAAGTATCCAGCTTTAATTAAATGATCACGGCTCATCATGAGAGATTTGTTTGCATGTTAGTTAGCTGATATACTTGGACTCTTCCTCTTGGTGTTCCATACCATCACTTAACCTCCTTAAATTTTCATATTACACACAACTTTCCAGCAGGAAAGGAGTCCCTGCAGCTACTCACACACACAAGGTGGACTTCCCAGAGAACAGAGGTCTGACTAATATAGTTTAGGGAGGGTTCCCTCCCAGCTAGTTGAATGTTAAAGGGATTTCAGAGAGAAGATAATCAGGATCTGCTGGCCTGACAGCTTTGTTCGGGATGTTGTCTGGAGGAGGACAGGAAAAGGGTCATTATATGGCTCATATTACTCACCAGGCAAAACAAAGTCATAATGAATGCGAGAGCATGTTGTTGCCAATATAAATACAACCAGGGGAAAACTGCCTCAAACAGCAGAGCTCAGGAGAGGGAGCAAAGCTCTTTCTGACCTTCCCAGCATGGCAGCAATAGGGTTGGACAGGATCGACACCCTCCCCCCTTCACTTGCAGGTAGGGAGGAAGTACACTGCTTTGCCAACCTCAAGCTTTCAAAAGATCACCAACCAGATCCATTCAAATCATGAAATTAACAAAAATGAGGTTTATTTTCTTTGCCTTCTGGTTTCTGAACCTTTAGGGTGCACTTGGGTTGCACTTTTCCAGCTTTTCTCTACAGCCAGGGGGTCTAGCAACTTGCTTTTTAAAAATGGAAGCTGAGACTGATGTAATCACTTGGGTCCAGGAGCTGGAACTTTAAGAACACCACCGTGAGACTCATGATAAAAATCGCCAAAGTTGGCCACACTAGGTGACATTTTAGTAAGGATAGGTGAATTGGTCTGGATGGTATAAGAACCAAGACCTAACCTTTGCCAATTATCCAGAGCAGACTCAAACTGTCATGAAGGACTGGAATCAATTAAGAAGTACTTTATTCTCCATGCTCCCCCTGCTGCCCTCATTGCTCAAAACACGTTTCAATCCAGTCCCCATTAACCTCTTTTCACCTCTGGCTCCTCTCTGTTGTAACCTTTATATTACAGAATAGTTGCAGGGCCCAGATGAGTACGTGCTAGGCCCAATCCGCTTTCAATTCTTATGCAGTCTACCACTCTCCACAATTTGTTACTCTCCAGCAGGGCTGCCAGAGTGGTCTGGAGCATTGCTCTACCACCGGAAATCTAGGATGGAGCTTTGCACTGGCACTTGAGAAAGCTATGCTCTGGCAGCTCTGCCTAGGTATTTTCAACACCTCAGGGTAGATCTACATTGCATCTGGGAGGTGTGATTTGCAGCGGAGGTAAACTGACTTACGCTAGCTCAGCTTGAGCTAGCATGCTAAAATAGCTGCGTGGATGCTGCGGCATGGGCAGTGCCTCAGGCTAGCCACCCAAGTGCAGACCCAGGAGGTCAGGTGGGCTATGTCTCAGGCGGCTAGCCCAAGCCGCTGCCCGTGCTGCAACATCCACCCGCTAAATTCAAGTGAGGGCCATAGACCCTCCTCTTCCCACCCCTTCACCCCCCAAAAACCTCAGAATTGGGAAGCAAGATCAGAGGCCATTGCCCATATCAAGGGATATAGGCTCATAGGACTTTAAGCTCAGAAGGGACCATCATCATCATCTAGTCTGACCTCCTGCACGTTGCAGGCCACAGAACCTCACCCGCCCAGTCCTGTAATATATCCATAACCTCTGGCTGGGTTATTGAAGTCCTCAAATCATGATTTAAAGACTTCAAGTTACAGAGAATCCACCATTTACACTAGTTTAAACCTGCAAGTGACCCATACCCCATGCTGCAGAGGAAGACGAAAACTCCACAGGTTATCTGTCAGATCTGACCCATGGGAAAATTCCTTCCCGACCCCCAATATGCCAATTAGTTAGACCCTGAGCATGAAGGAGGTAGCTCCAGTAATACGAATGAAGCAGGATGGGAGCAGAACATAGAAGAGAGGGAGTAAAGGAAGGGGCCACGGAGCTGGAGAAGCAGACGGGAGTGTGGTGGGTCATTCCTTAAGAGCCCTAAGAAGAGTTCTTCTGGAACCCTCTGGCTGCTGCCATTACGGCCCCAGTGCAGCAGTCCAAGGAGCAGCAATACTTGCACAGCCCCAGACCCAAGTGTGGGGAAAGGAGCAGAAGGAGTTGGGCACAGAGACAAGTTCTGGCCTCTGTTCTGCTCAGCTGCAGAGTCTGTCAGGGGCTCCAGGAGAAATAAGTCCCTAGAGGCAGGCAGTGCTTCCCAAGTTCTGTCCCCATACCCTTCCCGCTGTGCCGGCCCTCGTGCTGGGAGGTCTCTATGCCTGCTCCCTGCCTTTCCAAGGACAGCCCAGACCAGGGACAGTGGAACAGGGGTCCCAACACCAGGGATGTACCCTCACCTGGGACACAACCAACCCCTAACCTGGTTCCTCCCCAGCCACCTCTCCTGGGGTGAGCCTGGTCCTAACCATCCCTCACTCCAGTCATTCTCCATACCTCGCCCCTCTGGTCAGCCAGTTGTAGCCCTCTGCCCCGCTCCATCCCATGTCAGCTCTGCTGTCCTGTATTTTCACCTCGCCACAACTGACTGCACAATTCTGCCACCATTATCCATGCCCCAAAGCTTCTTATCCAAGTTGGAATCAGCACTCAGAGGACTGCTATGGACAGAAAAGGATCCTGGAGAACCTCCAACTTGGGCTCTTGGGGAATGACCCTACACCTGTCTACTTCCCTAACTCCCTGGCCCCTTCCTTTACTCCTTCTCCTCTCCTGTTTCAGTTGACCTCTGTTTTTTTTACTCACAAAATTGTGAGCCCAATTAATGTCCCTTGGATGCATAAGTAACTTAAGTCTCTGGCTGTGCCCAGAAATACAATTTTTAGATGTTTAACTGAGTTAAGGCCCCCTTAAAGTAAGGGTGAAAAATGTGGTCTCACCCTGTGATGCTTACAGGATAGAAAGATGCAGACACAGTTGGTGAAGAGAATAGAAAAGAAGGAAGAAATGCACCCACCATGTATATGCTTTGCTAGGCTCCAGCACTATAAAGTTGATCAGAACATCACTGCTCTCCCAGATTCCACTGTATGGTAGAGAATGAACAAACTCGCCTCTCCAGAGTTATGCGGAGTCTTTGCTGTAAGCATTGCCAACCCAACCTTTCAAAAATCACGAGTCAGCCCCCCACACCCCAAAAAAGAAAAAAAAAATCACAAGATTGTTTAGAAATTTCATGCCTTTTAAGCCATTTAATATTGGGTTCTCTTTATTTGCCTTCTAGTCTTGAAGAATGAGAACTTTATAGGACCAAACTTTTCTCAGCAAGTTGGAGGGTTAGAAATGTTGTGTTCAAATGCAAGCCAAAATTCCCATGTGTTTACATGACTCCAAGAACGAGTGCTTTAAGCAAAAAAAAAGCAAACAAACAAAAAAACCCCCACACCAAATATTGTGAGACACAATAAAATTGTAACAGCTGGCAACACTGTACGCAGGAAAGTGGTGGGTCACAAGCTGGAGAGAGAAATATGTGAGAAATTGAGTCTTCATTCTCTTCAGCTTCCCATTCAGTGATGCTGTGGGGGGAAGAGTCACCACTGCAAACAAGGCATTGCAGGAATGGAAATCATGAAGAAGGGGTGGGGGGTAAGCATCCAACACAAACATTTTGAGATTAACCTTTCTTGGGCTTTTATTTTGAGCCAGAACCCTCAGCTGTGCAGCATCAATGGAATGGGGGTTAACAGAATCAACTGAGCACAGGAAGCAGCTCAGTGCAGGAGCAACACCCAATTACCACACAAAATGATTAATCTGAAAAAGACTTACTGTTCCCGGCAAGCCCGAGCAGCTGTATTCCAAGTGACTTTCTGGTCTGTGATCAGGAAATAGCAGCTGCCTCCATGATGGCTCCATCCAGATGGGCATTTTTTCATGCTAACATCCTGAAATAAAAAGCTTGCTCATGCTCAGAGTGACTTGTTAATAGCATCAGCCTTCTAAAGCGCTGCTTTAACATGCCTCTTCAGGATCAAAACGAACACAAACATTTGTTTATATTAATAAAACTGAAGGCATTTTTTAAATTCAACATCAGTAACTTCAAAAGATAGACTGCGTGCAACATCCATCTAGTGGAGTAGGCATGCACAAGATCAAAGCAGTTACACTAAATTTAGGGCTTAAATTCTCACAGAATGTTTCCCAGAGCTCCCCAGGCCTCCCCATTTAGTGTTCTGGGATGCGCTAGGGCTTGGAGCTTCAGCCCCGGGGGGCACGCTGGGGCATGAGGCTTCTGCACTGTGCCAGGGCTCAGGGCTTTAGCCTTGTGGGGCGTGCCAGGGCTCGGGGTGTCTGCGGTGCATCAGGGCTGACCTCCTGCACAACAGGCCATAGTATCTCACCCAGTAATTCCTGTATGAAGCCCAAAAACTTGTGGTTGAACTTGCATGTATATTTTAGACAGACATTCAATGTTGATTTAAAGACTTCAAGCGACTAAGAATCCACCACAGCCCTTGGTAAGCTGTTCCAGTGGTTAATTACCCTCACTAATAAAATTTAGACCTTATTCACAGTTTGAAATTGTCTAACTTCAACTTCCAGCCACTTGACTTTATGTCTTTGTCTGCTAAATTAAAGAGCCCTCTGATATTGATTCCCTGTATGGTGTTTGCAGCCCATGAGCAAGTCAGCTCCCAACCTTCCCTTCAATATGCTGAATAGGTTGAGCCCCTTAAGTCTCTTACTGTAAGGCATACTTTCCATGCCTCCAATAATTCTTGTTATTCTTCTCTGATTATGTATGTATGTACTACAGCAGCAGCCAGGAGCTCCACTGTGCTAGGCACTGTACATTAGGGTCTGCCTACACTGCAATTGAGCACCAGCAGCTGACCCATGCCAGCTGACTCAGGCCCACAGGACTACACAGTCCTTCCCACAAGAGATTTTAGTTTTTTTGTAATAGAGGTTTTGTGTTTGCTTGATACATTCAGGCTATATTTTGGATGAGTCCTATAGTTGCAGGGTCCCCGAGCTCAGGCTCCAGCCTGAGCCCGAACATCCACACTGCAATTAAACATCCCCATAGCCCAAGCCCTGTGAGCCCGAGTCAGCTGACACAGGCCAGACGCAGGTGTTTAATTGCAGTGTAGACGTACCCAAAGAGATTAAGAAACACTCCTTGTCCCAAAGAGTTTACAATCTAATTCAGACTGTATGACCGATACAAAATGGAATTAGTTGCCATTTCACACAGACCAGTGAAGAGTGACCATTGGGGCCATCCAGTTTCCTCAGAGATTTAGGTCCTGATTCTTTGGTGTGTCTGAGAAGTGCTCAGTGTACATCTAAGGAGATGTGTACAAAGATGGCGTTAAGGGTTTGTCTAGATGAACAGTTAGTACGTAGCACACTAGGGTGTAATGCTACAGCCAGAGCCATCCCTAGGGTCCGACAAATCAGGGCTACCGCTCCGGGCCCCGTGCTTTGGGGGGCCCCCCGACGCAGGCTAGCACGATTGGCCGGTGTGCATGGACAGCGCGTGAACCACCCCTTCCACCCGAGGGAGAGCGCGCCGCCAGAAGGGAGAGCATGTGGTGGCGTCACTACAGCTTCCCCAGTCCCAGAGCGCTGGGAGGGAGAGTGTGCAGTGGTGCTGCTTCAGCCTCCCCAGTCTTGGGAAGGCGGGCGGCATGGCCCCAGCCCCCTGGAGCCCAGCGGCACTACCGAAGTGGGGCTCTGGGCGTGGAGTGTGTGTGTGGCCATGCTTGGCTGTTTGGGGAGGCCCTGCCTCCCCTCCCCTGCCCGGAGTGGTCGGTCACGGAAGTGATGGATTCGTCACTTCTGCCCTGGGCCTCGCACCCCCCCTAGGGAGGACGACCCTGGCTACAGCACACTAGCATGTTGCACACTAAGGGTGTGTCCACACTGGCAAGTTTCTGCGCCACAAGTTATACCACTTTTATTAAACCGCTGGAATTAAACCGCTGTTGCGTGTCCACATTGTGCTCCTTGTGACGGTGGAGTGCATCCACATTAGCAGCGCTTGCAATGGCAAAGAGAGCAGTGCACTGTGGTAGCTATCCCACTGTGCAACTGGCTGCAGGGTGCTTTGGGAAGGGTTTGCAATGCCTCATGGGACAGGCACAGTGTCACATGATGCAGGTTTCCCAATCCCATTGTTCCATGGGCATCATTCTACACTGCCAGCTGCTTTTCAGCTGAAGTGGAGGGGGGAGAGGGAACACATACACACACACACACACACCTCTGTGTTCAACAGCATGAGCATTCCACATTAATGGTTTGCTTTGTGTCCCAGAGCAGATCAGCACAGCATGCAATGGCTGTCAGAAACAGTGCTTTGAAAGGGGAGAGGCGCATGTATCCAGGGCAGCCGAGTTAAAAACAATGAGTAGAGCAGCCACTTGAGGCGTTATGGGACAGCTCCAGAGGCCAGTTACAGCACAGAAAGCAATCAAGTGTCTACACTGGCAATAGAGCGCTGGAGCCTCTGCGCAAATAGCCTTACGACTCTCGTCAGTTTTTTGCAGCGCTGCAACTGAGGAGTTTCTGTGCACAAAGTGGCTTGGCAGTGTGTACACGTCTGTAGTTTGAGCGCAAAAAGCTGCTTTACTGTGCAGAAACTTGCCAGTGTAGACAAGCCCTTAATGTCCATGTGGACCCTGCTACTATGCACTGGGAGTTTTGTAGTGCACATCGACCTACTCTGCTTTGAAATGGAAGTAGGTCAAAGCACACTACGGGACTCTTAGTGCGTGGTAGCAGGGGCCATGCAACCAGTTAGCGCACAACTCCCTAGTGCACTGTAGTTTTACATTCCAGCTTGCTGCATGCTAACTGTTCATCTACACAAGCCCTAAGCCACGTTAATGCTTCACTGAACCTAGGGCATCAGAATGCCAGACTGGTCTGCAATATAATTTAGAGGAACCTGGCTACTGTATGCTGGCTGCCAATGTCAGCTGGAGATCAGCTGGGTGCATGGATCCCTAGCCACACTGCATCCACTAGTAGGCAGGAAGAGGATGGCATGGAAAGCTACTATTGCAGTGACACACCACTCAAAGATCCCCCTTGTAGGGGAAGCCCTGGTAGCCAGGTGTAGGACTGCTTTGCCCCACCAGAGCAGAGCAAAGCATCCCTAACATACCAGTGAATCAGGCGCCTACACTTCATCTCAGATATTCATTTCATACCAACATGTCTAAAAGTGTGTCTGTTGGGGTTGCATGCATCTGATAGGCACATGTTCCTGAGGCTTAATGATGAAGCAACACTGATGAGACTGCACCTGAAGATGTTTAAGAACATCATGTCAAGAAACAGTATTTTGACAAGTTTTTGTTAAGCCTTCTTGAAGTGCTTTTACTTAAAAACGTATTACAAAGAAATGTTCCCTTTTATTCATCCAAAATGTAGCCTGAATGTATCAACCAAAACACAAAATCTCTATTACAATAAACTAAAATCCCTTGTGGAAAGGACTATACAATTTAACATCGGAGAAGCTTAAAATTAAATGCACACAAAGGGCAGGCGATAGTTACCTTGCTTTTTGAAGTCCATAACTTCCACGAAATTCCATCACACTGAAATAAGTTTTGGGTACTTTCTTCAAAATGCAAGAGCCCCTCTAAATCAGGTGTGCAGCTCTTTGGAAAGGAGAGGACCAGGTCCTGAAAAAGAGAATAACATTTGCATATTGAAGCAAAATGGTTTTATGGAACAGAATAAATGGTCAGTTTTTACTTCAAGAGATTGTGACATGCATAGGCGCTGACTTACTCAGATTCTGGGGGGGTGCTCGACCCCTGCTCTTCCCCAGACCCCGCTTCCCACTCCACCCCTTCCTCCAAACCCCCACCCCCGCCTCTTCCTGCCCCACCTCTTCCTGCCCGCAGCACCTCCTGCACGCTGCTGAACAGCTGATCCACGGCAGGCAGGAGGCACTGGGAGGGAGGGGGAGGAGCTGAACAGCAGAGCCGCTGGAGGGCGGGAGGCGCTGATCCACAGGACTGCTATTTTTTTTTTCTATGGGTGCTCCAGCCCCAGAGCACCCATAGAGTCGGGGCCTATGGTGACATGCAAATGCTAAATGGGTTGAGTTGTTAATTTATCCATGTATTGGCTAAATTAGTCTAAAGAACTAGAAGAGTAAATATTGGAGGTGGGGGTGGGGTTGGACTGGAGATCTCAGAGGTGTTAAATCATCTTAGATAACAACTTAAGTTAAAAATCGATGGTGAAAACTCATATGAAACAAAAGGTTTTCATACCTTTTGGCTAGAGTGTGATTCAGACATCAACTCTGCCGTATCAGCTTGTGGGACTTCTGTCTTCCTGGAGGAGATCACATTTATCTTTGTCTGCCCTTGGTTAATTATTGACTTGTTAGCCTTGTTTGCATTAGCTGATGAGGTGTCATCCTCTACTCTGAGAGAGACCAATCCATGATACTTGATTTTTAAAGTAACCAAAAGAAAAAAAAACAGAGGATTATCATTCATAAGCAACTTCAAAATTTTCCTCACAAAAATGGAAAGGAATTTTGAAACACAAGTTATTGTCAATCAAGGGGAGGAGACCCCCAAAGAAAAAGACAAAGAGAATGAGAAAGTGCAGTCAGTATTAACTACATCAAATTATTAAAGTTGTTATACATGCAGCTCAGATAAGACACAATAAGGAAAGAATCATAGAAGAAGCCACACCATATTATTCTTACTTTAAAAGCCACATTGGTTCCATTTCTTAACACAGATGAAGGATGAACCTGAAAAGGCCAGACAGTGAAATGAGTTTGGCGTATCTACACAATATAGAAACAGGTAGCTATCTGAAGCTTTTCATGAAAGTCTCATTGGGGTGGCTGGTGGTGAATAATCTAGATTAGCAAACACTACAGATTTTATTCTTGGTTTTAATTTTTTCCTCCTACAATGGAGGCGGACGACATCTGAAAGTAGGCAATTAAAACTGAGGCCACGTCCTACATTACAGGGACTACAATAGCATAGTTATGGCACTATAGCTATGCCGGCATAACCCCATAATGTAGGCAGCCTACAGCAATGGGAAAGGTTTTTCTGTCACTGTAGAACTCCATCTCCCTGAGAAACATTAGCTAGGTCAATGGAAACATTCTTCCATCCACCAAGCTGTATCTACACTGAGAGCTACACTGGCACAGATACAGTGCTTAGGGGTGCGGATTTTTCACACCCCCAAGTGCCATAGCTGTGTCGACCTAAATTTTACGTGTAGACCAGGCCTGACACACAAAGGTGTGCTCAAGATCTGTTTACATAACCAGTTAAAGATCACAGTCGTGTCCCAATCAAATCAGTGTACATGAAATCTGCCTAATGAGGTGTCTCCACTGTTTTTTCCAATTTAGGTAAATTTTATTTCCTTGTTTATTTTCTAGTACCTTCAGGATCAGGTGCTTAGCTCCTATAAATTGACCTAGTTCCATTAATTTCAATAGAGCTCTGCTGATTTACCCCAGCTGAGAATCTACCCCCATCGGAATCTTATTTTGGTTTGTTGTTTGATACACATTTCCTTCCTCAACTCCGTCTGTCTTTCTCACATAGACAGATCCTCAGTGTCAAGGCTTTCAGAAGATACAGTATATTCTTAAAAAGCTCTTAAGTCTGATCCACTGAATGCACAAATATTTTTCTAGTTACAGTAAATTCAGGTAAGATCACTACTTTAAAAACATATATATTATCATCCCACCACCATACAATAGATCTGCCTTACTATTTTGCCATTTCTGACAGCTCTAAGCCTCATCCTTGACAGATTCACCAAGTTGAATTCCTGTAACACATCCCCTCTCTGCACCATCATCTCTTTGGAAGAGGACAGCGGGATTCCTTCCAAGTGAACAGTGCCAGGATTGGAGGGCGATGAGGAGCCTGAGGAAACTGGAAGCAATGCGCCTTTCCCCCATAAGTTGTGCTTGTTTTGGCCAGAGGAATGGAAAGAGCTGCATTGACCTGAAAGCATACAAGATGGCAGATGGTCAGTTCATTTTACATGAGCAGATAGCTGGTCACATTGACTAGGGCACTGAAACAGCTTGTCATTAAAAGTTGGATGATTTTTCATCTGATGTTGCCGATTTGCTATTTATTCACGAGTCCTCATTTCTCCCATTTGTTTACATAGAGGAAAAGAGCATTCATGTATAGTATTGTCTGTGAGTCGTAAAAGTATAAATACTTTAGCACAAGTAAATAAAATCAACTCCCTGAAAATCAAATGCACTAAGAGGTACCTGTTGAAGGTACACATTTGGTCCATAGATTTTCAGGTATAATGAACAATTTTGGTAATATTTATGCCCTAATGATTTTCTCTCATCCCAAACAAAATTTTGCTGCCCTGTAAATGAGCACACATATGCTGTAGCACCCTCTTCTGACCCTCACATGGTTCTGCAGCAGCTGGCCTCAGTTTCCCTTCACCCAGGAGATAATCAATAAGTCCAACAAGGCCATCACACACACCAATGCCCCTACCATATGCTCAGTCTCTTTTGGCCCAGTGTCACATAGAGGTACAAACCCTGCTTTCCTGAATGTTTATCTATTTTGAACCTCCAAATATAGTCTCTCAGGTGTTCCACTGGGCACCACCCCTCCTTTATGAGACCTATCTATTCCCTTTCACAATCCCTCTCCTCTTCAACTTCCCCAGGTAACACACTCGTCAGCCCTCCCTAGCTGCTTATTATTATTTTTCCCTTTGGAGTCCTCTGAATTACTGAGCTCCTCTTCTTGGACCTGTGCTCTGTGGATCCTCAGGCCACACCTTCAGAAGGCTTCCCCAACTGCTTCCCTCAGGAGTCCTATCAGGAGCTCAGCACACCTCAAACAGCTCCCCAGTTACTCTTCTCTGTCTCCAGCTGCAATCCCCAGCTGTTTGATTATTTCTCACACAAAGATCTCTCCCGCTCATGTCCATTCTTCTCTGCCTTATAAAGCCCAGGTATCTTTCCTATCAATGAATCAGCAGCAGCCAGTTGGTCCCAGGTGCCTTCCTTATCAGTCATTTGGGTAGCAAGCAGTCAGTCATAGGTGCCTTCTTTTTCATGCTTTGACATTGTCTTATTTTCCTCTCAAACCAGTTTTACACTGATAAATTTCTGACTTCAGTTGAGTAATTTGGGTTTACATCAATGTTACCAATAGAGTGACCAGACA